TAAAAAATAAATAAAAATAAATAAATAATAAATAAATAAATAAAGTTAGAAAAAGGTTAAAAACAATAAATTAGAAAAAAAACTTAGTAAGCAATATAATAATAAAGAAATAATAATAAAGAATAATAATAGTAAAGAATATATAATAATTAAGTAAATTTTATTTTTTATTATTATTTTTGGAAAATGGATTATTTTATGTTTAAAAATTTTTGTATATTTTCTAAATTTTCTATATCTTCTTCATCTCCATATTCTTGGAAGTTTTTTTCTATCACTTCCAGTATCTCCTTATTTAACTGAAGCTCCGGATGAGCAGCCGCGTTTCTCATACCTCTAAAATGTTCTAAATTGTGGCTCAAATTTTCTACACTTAGCCCTTCTAATCCTTTTAATTTTTTGCAAAATGCTTTCCATTCTTCTTGGTCTCGAATAGACAAAACTTCATTATATTCTTCTTCAATTTTTATCTAATTTCATATATTGTATCTGTTTGTTTGTAAATTTTTTTATCTTTAATGTTTGTTTCAATAATAGTTTTTTTTACTAAAAAGGCACACTGTCCCATTAGAATATAGGTGTAACCTTTTATTAAATCATTTTTATCCTTATAATTTAAATTTAATTTACTTTTTTTGGCAAAAGATCTGGATATTTGAGACTTATGGTTAGTTAAAACTTTCAATAGGGCTCGGAGAATGTCCATTCCTGTAAAAAGAATTTATATATTAATAAAAATAAAATTTATATATTAATAAAAATATGTTGACGACAACGACGACGTCGATCAATACCACCACCATCAATTTTTATCTGAATTAGATTTAGATTTAAGATAAAATTAGACTTAGATCGAACTTAGATATAGATTTAGGATTACGATTTTTCTATTTCGACAGTTTGTAGGCAAATGATAATGTAGTCATAATATATGTAGTCATTTATGTAGTCATAATTATATTATCATTTATATCATGTATATTGTCATTTGCCTACAAACTGTCGAAATAGAAAGATCGTGATCCTAAATCTATATTCAAGTTCGATTTAAATTTAATTCTATCTTAAATCTAAATCTAATCGACTTGTGTCATTAAATGGAAAGCACCCATTATTGTTAATATGTGGTTTATTAATAATGAATTATTAAT